ACGCTGCCGACAAACAGGCTCCCGCCCGGCGCGGGGCGCCCGAGGCCACACAATGCCGCCGCGCCGAGCCCACGCTGCTCCGGCCTGGCCGGCGGGGTCGCTCAGGATCGCAGCGGCGGGATCCACGGGCCAGCAGGGCGGGGGGCGCAAGGACGCGAGTGTGCGCGGGGGACGGGGCTGCGCGCGGGGACACAAAAGGGAAAAGGACGCGCGGGGGCGGCCGAGTCGGCGGCGGGGAACCGCGGCCCCACCGAAGGGACCCCCGGTCGCCGCGCGGCCTCTACGTCAGCGGCCCGGGTGGCGCCGCCTCCGCGCCCCGCCCGGAGCTCCCCGGTTCCGCTCCGGCCCAGGCTCGGCCGCGGAACAAGCAAGGAGCGCAGGCGGCAAGTCGCCGCGGCGGGCGCTAGAGCCTCGGAAACGCTGGGCCCAGGAACCCTGGCGCGAAAAGCGCGACGGGACGCTTTCGTTCGGCCACCCAGCCCAGATTCTTGGGCCTTAACTTTGTCTGGGCTGGGCCTGCAACCCACGATGGACACGGAGGAATCAGGGGAATTCCCTCCTTGAACAACCCGCCACCTCTTTCCCTGCTGCCTATTCCGACCGAGTTTCTGGCTTCAATACAACTTCCCTCTCTGACTACAGACCTTACTCACAGGACCCTCAGCTAAGGTGGTCACCTCCTGGGAGTCGCGACCTAGGTTTAGGGTGGACTCCCCTGCTCAGTCTCAACTGGCAGAGGATTAGAATTAGGGCCCTCAGCAAAGCGCGTTTGCCCAGGGTTCGTGCGGTAGAAAAAGAATGAGTTCCTGGAATTTGAGTCTCTCCAGAGTTCCCTAGATCTGACCAGGAACCCTGATTAAAGCCCCCAGGTTACCTAGGGGTGGAAGGAATGTAGGCCCAGGCCTGCATTCTGTTCCCCAGAACACCACGCTCAGACTAGACTGGTGTCAGTAAGGGTTCCAGAGCCCAAACAAGGAATGATGAAGCGCTACCGGGCAGCCTTTACCCTGAAAACAGTTCTCCTGCTTCCCCAGGTGGTCGGGCCTTTAATATGGGGGGGTGGGGGGAGGCGGGATATATGAGGGATTTCTTTGACAACCCACCCCTCTGACATCTGCCACATCCCATACTAGCGGGCTACCACTGCAAGGGTTCCTGGGGTGTTCAAACCTGCCCCTCTGACCAGTGCTTTTCATTATCCCAGCATTCTCCATCCTCTTATCAGCAAAATCTGCATAATGCTGAGAAGTGTGAGTACCACAGATAAAGAATTCCATACTCTCAGGACAGGCCACACACAAATCCCTGATCATAACCCTTCTGTGATTACCCAGCTTTGGCCTACAGCTTTCTCTTCCAAAATGACAGGAAGCTCAGTGACAATCTGCCCTCTTATTGAGTCAGAATCTGCCTTCCTTTATTTGTCACCCACCCCCAAGGGCCCCCAACAGTCTCAGGACTGAGTGTAGAGTCAGGGCCTTATCCTTATCTGAGGGTAGTCCTTGCACGAGGAAGATGGGATCTTAGGGTAGGGGGAGCATAAAATGGATCTCATCCCCAGGCCACACCTTTCATGCCTCTGGGAACTGTCCATGCAGGAATAAGGTCTTCCATCCTTAATTCCAGTTTCCCTTCTGGTGACAGTTTGGATGATTCTTTACAAAGGTTCTGGGGAAGGAACTGCAGTTTAAGCCATTGCCCACCATTAACACCTTGGTGTGAATTAGTGCAGACTAACCTGTTGTTGTTGCTAAGTGACTTAAAGTCAATTCCTGATTCATAGCAACCAATACAGGGTTTCCAAGGAGTGACTGGTGGGTTTGAACAGCCATCCATGAAGTTCAAACAGACTTTGTGATCCAATGCTTATCCTAGAGCGCCACACCAAGGCTCTTAGACTAAGTCATTTTTAAGTGTCCTCCAGTAGGTTTTGACTCATAGCCACCCTCTGTAGGGTTATCAAGAAGCAGCTGGTGAGTTTGAACTGCTGACCTCATGATTCAAACTCTGCAAAGGGCCAGACAGCCAGTGTTTAGGTAGGCACCTCATCTTCCACCTTACAGCAAGCATACTGAAGCAATTATATGAGCAAGGTCCAGTCCTCAGATTTGTCCTTTAAATCAATAAACAAGAAAATTCTGGAGACAGCTCTAGTTCAGGGAGACATCCTGGATGTTGACTCCAGGCTACACTGTTAACACTCAGGTCACCTCTTACAGTCCTCAATCTCCTAGCACTTTCATTTCCTTGTTTAGAAATAGTAATAATTACCCATGCTTACCAGTCCTGGTGTGGCCCTGTAGGATAAGCACTGGACCACAAGGTTTGAACTACAAGGCCTGGCAGTTAAGCCCCACCAGTCACTCCTTGGAAATCCTATACCGAGTTGCTATGAGTAGGAACCAACTTGACTGCGCCTAACAACAAGTTCCTTATAGGATTGAGCTCTGGTAGCGTAGTGGTTGCGAACCTCAAGGTCAGCAGTTCAAAACTACCAGCCGCTCCGTGGGAGAAAGATGAGGCTTTCTGCTCCCGTAAAGATGTACAGCCTCGGAAACCCTGTACAGGGTCGCTATGGGTCGGAACCGACTCACGGCACTTAACAACAACAACAAAACCTAGTTTCTACTTAGCTTATTATCTGGATCATGATAGCTATTAGGACACACTCAACACTCAAGCTGATCCTGTTAAGGAGGCATTGTTGTTTTACAGAAGTGAAAACTGAGGCTTGAAAAAGATAAATGCTTAGATATGAACCAATAGATCTGTGTTGGAAGAATTGCAGCCAGAGTGCTCCTTGGAAGCCAGGATGGTCAAACTTCATCGCTCACACTTCAGACATAATGTCAGGAGGAACCAGTCGCTAGAGAAGAATATCATGTTTGGTAAGGTAGAGAGAGTCAGAGAAAAAGAGGAAGACCACCCCCCGCAAGTAAGATGGATTGGCCAAGTGGCAGCATCAATGGGCTCAAGCATGGCAACAATAGTAAGGTTGGCCCAGGATTGGGCAGTGTTTTGTTCTGCTGTGCATAGGGTCGCTATGATCGGTACCAGCTGGATGGCACCTAACAAGAAGTCAGTTCCTACTCATAGCGACCCTGTATAGTGTTTCCCTGGCTTCAAATTGTGGCATGAGCAGAAAACTTCATTTTTCCCCTACAGAGCGGCTAGCGGACTCAAACTGTGGATCTTGTGCTTTACAGTACAGTGCCTATCGTATGAAGCTACCATGCTCCCTGCCAGAGGCGGGAGAGCCCTGGGCCTGTGCTGTCTGCCCTGGCCATCTCCTGGAACACTGCTGACATTCCTAGGAAAGTCCATTCACCCTCTCACCCAAGTCAAATACAGGCTGGTCCCTGCAGTGCCTCTGTGTCCACCCTAATCCCACTTCTGCCCTCTGATGGGCCTGATGCCTGCAGTTACTACTGTACAGGATGTTGAGAGTCTGCATGTTATTCCTACCCTTTCAGCAGCTCCATCTCAATAGAATAAATTAGATAGAATAGAGCAGGGGACTCCACATTCTTCCTCTGATTTCTCCATATAATTCTGTTCTCTCTCAACCAAAGCCTTTCTTTTCTCTGCCTCCTCCAGTCATCTCTTTATTTCCTTCCATCACTCATTCATGTACTTAACAAATATTTGAGCAACAGTATGCCAATAGGGCCCTGGTGGTGCTATAGAAGCACAGGGCTGCTAACTGCAGGTCAGCAGTTCAAACCCACCAGTCATTCTGAAGATGAGGCTTTCTGCTCCCATAAAAATGTACAGCCTAGAAAACCCTATACAGGGTTACTATGAACTGAAATCTATTTGATGGCAGTGGGCTTTTGGGTTTATTCCGATTACCATTCTAGAGCTGAGGCTTCAGAAGTCTCTGCTTTATGGAGCTTATCTTCTCATGGACCAAATGAAGAAGGAGAGCACAGCGCTATGGGGAACCTGGCACAGGTTGTACAGCAAGGTGACCCAGGGAGTAGCCAGGCAGGCTGAGGCAGCGCAGAGGACCCAGAGAGTAAGTGAACTTTCTCATGTCTGACCATCAGTGGGGGAAAGACCAGAAAGCAGGGTAGTAGCCAATGAAGTTCAGACGCCAGGCCGACCACCACCTCACCACTGACTCACTGTGCCTGGACTTAGCCAGCCCTGATGTCATCCTCAGGGGTTCTCTGCTGAGCTGCCTAGGCCGCCATATCATCAGGCCAAAACCACCCCATTTCTGGGTGTGAGCTTATATTCCATACCTATATCTTAGGCATTAGTGAGTTAAAATGGACTGGTATTGGTCATTTTGAATCTGATAACCACATGGTTTACTATGCAGGGAATGATGAAAAAGAAAGGTGTTGCATTCATCGTCAAAAAGAACATATCCAGATCAGTCATGAGGTACAATGCTATAAGTGATAGGATAATATCCATGCAC